CATGTTTGAGAAGCCAGCATGAGTGAATAATTGAAAGTTGAATGAGCCCTGTTGACGGAATTATGTGGCGGCATAGTAATTTGAAATTCAATCTCAAGCTACACATTCAAACACTATTATTTGTATAATTATTTTCTTTAGCCTCACATATTTCTCTTTTTATTCAATCAATAGCCCATCTAGAAATTTTCCCAACCAGCTGTTAAATAACATATTATTAAGTATAAATAGATCTGCATAAATAAGATTTAAACCAAAAGCACCATTTTTTTGTAATTGATGTTGGCAAAAGGCATAATCAATGTGCGAAAATACTTAATTTAACCCACTCACTGCCTCTATCGCTTTTTTTAGATTGGCATGACTTCCTTCTGCTCATTGTGTTGACTGAACTCCTATATGTGAGTAATTTTTTGTATATATATGCATCCAACACTCTAAATCCTTTTTTCATTCCACCAAATAATTTTAAATATAACTAGGGTCTCTACTATTTATCGCTGCTTTTTTTACCTCATCAAATGCTTCTTCGACTATATTCATCTCCTCAGCATAGGCTATTTTTTGAACTAACAACAATAATTTATCGTAGTCTTCATCAGAATCAAAAAATTTTCGGCATGCAGTTCATAAATTTTGTGCAAGCATGTGCCAGATACAAAGCATTTTTTTCGCTTCTAGAAAAACTTTATTAGCTGTATTTCGAAGAGCTTGGGACCTATCTGAAACAATACTTCCGGAGAGCAAAAATATGCATCATAGATTACATCCTTTAAAGTATTTAGAAACCATTCGTAAGTATATTTCTTTTCATTTTCTACCCATGCTATTGCAATTTGATACATGTTTAGAGATTTTGCATTACCAATATTACTAACACCAACAGCATTAATGAGAGGGAGTTTGTATAGATTTGTTTTATAGTTTGCATTTACTATAAGCTCTTCCGGACATACAGCAGTATGAGATGCAGCTTCAATATGAGTAAAAAACAGATTTCTCATATAACCGTCTTTTGATAATAGATGGCGAAGTATATAATTGCGTTTTTCTAATTTTTGAAGAAGCTACATAGTAGTATTATTATTTGAGCTCTCATTTAAAGCATTTCTAATTCTGTCACATTCATTAACAATATCTTTTGTATTCACAGTACCATGCTTCCATTATACCACATCAGCAACTAACTAGACTAATGCTCCACTTTTAAGCATTATATGAACTAGCTTTTTTTGTTCTGCATTAAGCTGCTGATGTTGATAAAGATAATAAACTTGTAATGGAGGGAGAAGCTCATAGTTATGCTGCTTTTTATAAGATCGCACTACCCAAATTCCAGCATTCTCATTCAAAACAGCATACAAAGTAACAGGGCAGTTTTGGCATTTGATAGATTTAATTTTTTTTTTCGTTTCTTCAGTAATCTTATGGTTATTTCTATATTCGCCCCTATTACGCATTGTAAAAGAATATAAGGAATGTGGCCACCTTTTTCACTGCATGACAGTTTTGATGATGACACACTAAAGGCAAAACCTGCTGCTTTAGCACCCTGTTGAGCAGCTTCCTTGAAGCTTTCTGCTGTTGAAAATTCACTACCAACCTCTGGAATTTTTGGTTGTAATGAAAGCATGACTATAGGTGGTTAACTTTTTTTTCTTGTTAAAACATCTTATACAAAATAATTTTTTTTGTGCTTTAGTGTGTCAGTCTTGTTACTTAAAATACAAAACACAAAATATTTACTATATACGAAAATAATAAGTATTTTTTTATGAAATGAGGTTTTACTTTATATAATTATTACTAATTGATTGATTCTGAATTTATTTTTAGCAAAAAGCTATTAAAGTGCGACTTTACACTATATATATTTTTTTAAAAAAATTTTTTTTTGATTATTTATAATCGATGAAGACTAATCCAATTAAGTAATTATTATTTCAATAGATAATTTCAAACATACATCTTGGCCTTGGTAAAAAAAAAAAAAAAAAAAAAAAAAAGCCAGTAAAATATCGATTACACTTCCTTATTCATTGTACAGAAACAAAACCACTCTTATCCTCATATTCTGTCTAACATGTATGACAATAAAATATGTACTTTTTTTAAATAAATGTTGTTAAGATTTGCCACCTTTTGCAACTGCATTATGATCACTATTCCATTTCTCTTTTGGTTATATTTGTCTTTCCACATGGAGTACTTTTATATACAGGTTTCAGAATTACCAGGTAATGATCTTCAATTCTGAGTATTAATCTCGATTCTTATATTGTAATCTTTGTTATTGCACGTTCTTGTTTAAAACAGTCATTACATATTAAATAACCCAATTTAAAACATGTAGAAAACTTTATATTGATCTAATCATATTTGAAAATTTGTATGCCAAAAATAATAATTTAATCAGCAATTATATGGGCTAGGTGCTGCAGAAAGGGAGGAAATCTACAAAATAAAAGATCTTTGGTAGGTCAATTTTTATATTATATATTTTATAATAAATTATAAAAAAATACATAATTTAAAGATTTATACTACTAAATTTTATTTATTCTAAATTGATATGTGTAAAAAAGAAAATTTTGAAAATTTGTCGATTTCCTCTCTTTTTGAAGCACTCAGCTTATATAATTTATTAGTTTTTTTTTATAGCTTAATTTAATAGTTTTATAGATGGTTTACAAGGTTTTATTAATTTTTGCCGTATCTAAATTTATTATTCTCTATATCGATATATTTTTGTGTACAGTCAGATCTCTCTAAATACATAGCTGTGGGATGGCCAAAAATCTTGTATTTAGAGAGGTATTGCATTTAGGGTAATAAAAATCTGAGTTAGGATCAAACAAGGCCATGCATTTAGAAAGGTCTTTTATAGATTATGCACTTAGAGAATATGCATTTAGGAAGGTCCGATTGTAATAAAAATATATATTATGTAAATATTGAATGATTATTAAATAACTTGTATAACTTGTTGAAATTTTAATATAGTAAGAGTGACTAGTATTGTATTGTATTGTTTTTTGAGTTTCATTAAATTTGTATCACGTAATTCTGCTCTGTCTAATATATCACGTGATCCTGCTCTGCCCCCTAAACTCTGTCCGTAGAATTTCCGCAGTACATAGAGACAGTGAAAATCATGTGATTTTATATAAAAACTATCTACCCTAACCACTAACCAACTAATCACGTAGTTTTGCACTATTAGTAGACTTTTTGACAATTATTTTTACAGGAGCGCACGTTTTTTTTATCCAATAGAATCATGAATAAACCTTACAGAATTTCATCGATCAAAATGTGCATTATTTTAGTATGTTTTTAATAATAATAATAACTAGGCTAATGCATTGCATTGTGTGTCTGAAGCACATGATGTTCATCATATAACACAAACGCGTAAGTGTGCATATATTTTTGTTATGCTTAAAGCACAAATATAGACACGCGGCGTGATCGACAAAAATTTCCAAATTACATTTCTGATGTGATCTTCATAATATGAGCATGGCGAACTTCTATTGTGATTGGCTGATTTTTGTAGATCATCTCGTTATACTAAAATATTATTAAAGTAATGATTTTCCGTCACGAGAATCACAAGAATGGATTCGCAGCCACGAATACGAATTCGCCAAGGTTGTGATATAAAAATTTAGAAACTATACCTCCTTCTCTACAAGACATCAAAGTAATTTGGTAATCGAGATAATTCGGAAGTTAGATGAGAGCTACTTTTTGAGTATTTTAAAACTTTATATTTATCTTGTAATCTATTTAAACTATGCGATTTAAACTTTTTTTTAGTTTTGCCAAGATGTTTGTAGATTATAAATAATAAGTCAATAGTATGTTTATTCTTTTCTATGTTTTCACATTTAAACTGACTTTTATTTTATTTATTTATTTATTTTTTTGATCTTTACTAATACTACTGTAATTCTCTTCGCATAATGATCTTAGGTTCAATATTACGAAGTTTTAATAACATTGCCACAATAGATAGCTTTGATAATTAGTAGTTATTGGTATTAATGTCATGAATAATGTTTAAATTGGGTGATGCTGAAATTTGTGCGATCTTTAAATTTTTTGAGTCAGCTTTTTTTTTTTTTTTTTAAGGTAAATTAGGATTTAAGTTAGCAACATTAGCAAAAGAGTATAGGTTGATCTTGTAGGGTTTATATTTTTAAATCGAGA